TTCCCTGGTAGTGCTCAGCTGTGACTGAGTGTTCAGCCTCAAAAGAAAAAAAAAACAAAACCCCAACACTTGGCAATCCGCGTCTATCAAGATTATGGGCTAGGATGAATAGCTCTATTCTGTCCCTATACAGGATCCCTAGGAGTCAGAATCAACTCAGTAGCACACAACACAAGCTGAAGCTTATGAGTCTTTGCAACGTGCCAGGTGCTGTGCTAATATCAGCATTGTGCCGCTTAGTCTTCACAATAGTCTGTGAAGCTGTCAGTATTATCAACCCACTTCAAAGATGAGAAAGCTCAAGTTTGTGTTTACAGAGATGATCTGGAATTTGCCCTATTCAGTAGTCAAGTTTCCATTTCAGGCTGTCTCATTTCTGAAGTCACAGTCATTAGACATTACTGATTTTTCTCCCCACATTTTGAAAATTCACAAAATAACTAATTTTCTTAAAATCTGCTATTTAAGTTTGGCAAATTGCAAAGCAATATATATTGTTCTTGTCATTATGTGTTATCTACTATAACTCACAGTGACCCTATGAACGACTCTGAACCCTGCCCTTTCCTAAGCCAACCTCACCATTTCTGACACACATGACCCCATTGCCACAGTCATTGTGTGTAGGATAAGGGGGGGGAAACTGTCAAGCAAAAACAAACATTTTCATAAAAGTTTTCAAAAAAAAAAAAAGGTTTTCACAATAGCAAAGACTTCCCTCCTCCCTCTTGGTTGGGACAAATTACGGAACTTTCCATATGTAGTCAAGCACTTTAACCACTGTGACATCAGGGTTCTTTAACTCTTAATTCATTGCTATTGAGTCAGAGCAGACTCTCTGGTGTTTTTCAGTTGACCCTCCATTGGTTTTTCACAGTCTGTAAATCACATGGGAGGAGATTGCCCATCTTTCTCCCACCAAGCAGCTGGGGCATTTGGGCTACCTACCCTTGGATTGATGGATTATATCCTAGTGCACCTGAGCTCCCTCTACCGAGATCAAACTTTCAAAAGAGAGAAATGAATTATCATTGCAAACTTTTCCTTGCTTTCTGCTACTTAAATCTCCCAAATGCTCTGCACAGCTGCTTAGCTGGTTTGGGAAATTTACAGAGGGGAACTTTTTAAAGAGTGCATACGCTCTAAGCCAGGGTGTTATTTAAATTTTTTTTCCTTGATGAGAACTTTGTATATTCCCGGGGATGTTTAAAGTCTTATGGTTTCTCCTTCAGAGGCGTGACTTATCTCTGCTGGCCAGGAATTCCTTTCTGGAGCCCAGACCTTGTAAGGCGGAATCCCAAAGAAAAGCTTCCCTGCCTTTCACAAAGGATCGTTTAGAGAATAACAAAGGGAAGATCAAGCTACATTATCAGCAAATGCTTATTAGCTTACTCTCTAATGGGTCCTGGAGCTCAGCAAATCGTTACAGGAACACAATTTGGAAGGCTTACTTAGGGGGAGGACTCTACAGGGTACCTCTAGTATCCTAACTCAAAGGCAGCTAAGCTAAAGGCAGCATTCTGGTGCTTCCAGTCTACTGGTCCCAGGTCTTACAGAAAACAAATGAGTAATCTCTCATTTCAATTTACACTTTCTGAGAACCTATCAGAAGGTGGCCAACTATGAGTCAATCCTGACTCAATGGCCATGAATTTGAATGCTTGGGTTTAGTCTTATTTAGTGAGCTCTGCTGGCCTAGTCTAGAAGGAGTTGTGCTCCTAACTCAAATGTGGCACCTCTCTCGTGTTTGAATCTACCAGCTGCTCTGTGAGAGAAAGCAAAGTAATTTCTTCCTGTGAGATTTACACTCCCAGAAATCCTGTGAAGGGTCAGGTATGAGTGGGTCCCAACACGATGACAATGAGTTGAGTTCTTTTCATTATAATTAAGTCCATCAACGTCTTTTGTGGGATACTTTTGGAAGAAAACAATTTGTAAAGCATAGTGCAATAATAATGCTTTGTTATGAAAAAAAGGCAAATGAGATATTTTACTGTATTTGTGATGTGTGTTCTTATGAATTAGAAGTAGTCAATGATGAATAACTAAGATAAATAATTTCTACCTGATTACTGAATAACTTGGCCATATAGTTGTCATTTCATGTTTCTCTAGGAGTTCTGATTCAAAACAATATCTGAAGGCAGAGTTAGGACAGAACTAATAGCTTACTTTATAAGGGTATTATTAAATAAATGTTTGGGAAATATAAGTAACTATTTACAAGCGGGAGCTCTCGTGGCATAGATGGGTAAGGAGTTGCTCCGCTAACTCAAACGCAGGCAGTTAGAATTCACCAGCTGCTACTCCATGGGAGAAAGATAGACAATCTCCCTCCAGGCCTCTGAAAACCCACTGGAAGGTCAGCTATGGAGTTTATGACTCAAAGGCCCATAACGATAACAACATTGTCTAGTGTATCGTTACTTCCAGTCTTGAAGGCTAATGGCTTGGGGCTTATTCTTGTAGTTTAAGTAGTCCTGGTGGCTAAGTGTTAAACAACTACTCAAAGGCTTGGCAGTTTAAACCCATCAGCCATGCTGCTGGAGAAAAAGGAGGCTATCTGCTCCCATTAAGATTTACAGCCTCAAAAATCCAATGGGGGAGGGTCATCATGAGTCAGAATTGACTTAAAGGCTGTGGGTTTTTTTTGTTTTTTCCTTACACTACTAGTGGGCAAGACTTATTTAACCACCATATGGTGCTATTTCATTGTCTGTAACACTTCATAAATTATTCCAAGGAATGGAATATTTCCCTTCTCCTAGGTACTTGGCCTCAGCATGTGTTATTTCAATTTCTCTCTCATCAAAAGCTGCTTTTGGGAAATAATCTGATGAATTAGGTCTAAATAACTAATAAGGCTTAAAATATTACCTTTCCCAGGATTATGGGTTTGTGCTAGTGGAATAAACTACTCAAAGGGATAAAACAATAATGGCAGAATTTCAGGTGAGCTGTATCTATGGCACTACATTTTAAAGAGTTTTTCAGCCAACCTGAGACTAAAGGCAGTAGTGGAATTCTAGAATCCAATTGGTCTCTGGATGCTCTTTTAGTTCTGAACTGTAGTTGTTGGTGTTAGGTGCCCTTGAGTCCAGTACGACTCATAGTGACCCTATGAACAATAGATCTGAACCCTGTCCTGTCCTATCCTCACATACCCTAATCACTAGAGCCCATTACAACAGTCACTATGTCAATCCGCCTGAATAAGGGTCTTCTTCCCTTTTCTTCGCCCACCTTTCCAAGCATCATGTCACTTTCCAAGCCCCTCTTAACAACATGCCTGAAGTATGTGAGGCCAAGTCTCATCCTCTTTCAGAGCTAGTTCAGAACTCACTTTAGTCAAACTCAAACCAGAGTGGGGAAAAAGTTAAGACAATCTTCCCCATGCTAATGAAACAATTGTGGGAATAATATGTTTAGGTTTTACACAATGACTAATATTCCTTTTTTAATTAATATTCTTATTAATATAAAATGGATACCTAGCTTGGAGTAAGGGATCATAGAGAGTTGTGGTGTAAACAAAGCCTGTGCCTTTGTGCAGATCTGAAACCACCAGTAGCTCCTCAGGAGAAAGATGGGCAATCTATTCTTGATCTACAACCTGAGAAACCAGCTGGCAGGTCGGTGATGAGTTCCTACTTTACAGCAGTAAGTTTGGATTCTGAACTTGGTATCTAACCTGATTGCTGTTTCTTTACTTCTAGTCACAACTCTATTACTTCCAATCTAGTAGTAAATAGGCCTGAAATCTTTGGTATTGGTATTATTTGTGAACCTTCAACTTTTGTTCTACATTAAGGAACTAATGAAACCAAAACCAAGCCCAGTGCCTTTGATTCCAACTTACAGTAACACTTTATTGAATCTCTGTGGCTGTAAATATGAACAGAAGAAGGCTGCCCATCTTTATGTTGAGGAATGGCTGGTGGATTTGAACCACTCACCTTTTGGTTAGCAGTGCAACACAATATTTACACCACCACCCAGCGCTCCTTAAGGAATTAATTCTCATTTTAATTCCAGCAATGTGTGCATGTGTGTGAGATGCTTTCACCTCCAACAGGGTGCTTTAAATATCTTCAGTTATCTCATGTGGTTTTGTTTTTTGCTTTCCCCACCAGCGTTCAACTTATTTTGGTAAAGAATTTTTTGATGGTCTTTAGGAACTCCTCCCTTTGGATGGGTGCCAGAAAGCATCTGTTGGATATTCCACTCTTTATTCATACTTGGTAATAAATAATTATCTCTGGAACACAGACGGAAGAACTGAACCAGTGACTGCAGCAACCCGGAGACTAAATATTGTCACTGAACACAGTTAAGTACAGGAGGGGAGGGGTTGTGCCTGGGTTCTCTTTCTTCTGGTAAAACAAAGCCATCTTGCCTGCTACCATATAAAAAGCATTAACTGCAAACCCAACCGCTCTGGAGTAGATTCTAACTCAAAGCACCCCGCAGGATCAAGTTGAACTGCCCCTAAGGTTTCCAAGGCTTTTGGGAAGATCTTTCTTCCCGTGGAGCAATTGATAGGTTCACTTAACCTCTGGGCTACCAGAGTTCCTTAGTAAGGCAGCAACCCACCGGCCCCGCCCCCCATTTTACAAACAAGATTTGTTCCTAACTGTCTTGAATTTGTAGGTAAGTCAGACCAGGTGCATGTTTACTGTAGTACAAGAAAGGGTTTGAAGACGTTTTTCATGATTTAAAAGCATGATTTTAAAAGGTAATTGCGAAGAAGAATTTGTTTTGTGCAGGGGTGGGGTTTGATTGTTTCTAAGTGAAGGTAAATTTACATAACATTAAAGGGCAAATAGTCTGTGAGTGGTTTGTAACCACGGGGACTGCCAGTAACTGCAAAAAAGCTGCAATGTTATGGTTGACGCTTTCGATGCCATATGTGTTGATAGAACGCTCAAGAATCTTTCTCTGCAATATACGCAAACCCTGCCAGGCTGAATTATTAGGGCCAGCGCAATTCACTGCACCACCGAAACGGCTGGGGTTGGAAGCCTACGTCGCATTCCGAGTGTATCCAATGTTTCTTCAAACAAAGGCACTATCTTGAGGCAATTTCGCGGGCCATTTTGCTCCTGCCGGAGCCAGCTTTGTCTCGCTGAGACTGAGACTTGGAGGAGCCCCAGCTGCGTGGCTGTGCAGGCGAGGGCCAGCGTGGGAAGCTCCGCCGAGATGCTGCTGTGGTTTCCTGCAACCTGAGCGTGCCATTAGAGGAAGTTGGAGCGCTGCAGCTGAAAGAGATACCTGCAGCCTCCAAATCGGGGCTGGCTCGGACAACCCCTTCGCTCCGATTGCTGTCGTACAAAGAAACTCAGTCAGCCGGGGCGGCGGAGGCCTGTGGGGTGCTCTTGTCTCCGGGCCGCAGAGCGGAGCCGCCAGGAGCCGGCCAGGGGTCGGCGTCTTCACCGTCATCTCCTCCGGGCGGCTCAGGAGCGGGGGTGTGTGTGTGTGGGGGGGTCGCGGGG